GAAGGTCAGGATAAGAAGCCTGAACTTGATGTGGTGCAAAGGGTGGACCCACTGGAGAGATCTAGCAGGGGTAGTGATGTGAGTCGAGTTGCAGGTAAGGAAGATAAAAATAGCAGCAGCTTCTTTGTGAGGGGTGACACGGGTGACGGGGAGTCCAAAGAGGAAGAAGTTGCACTATTGAAGACCGGAGGTGATGATGACAACAATTTTAGGACTCTGCTTATTCCTTCCTCTCTCTTTCTGTTTATGCTCTGTGCTTTTGGAACACTGCCTTTGCTCATACACTCCATTCTGAATTTGTAAAATGCCTTTCACCATGGCTTTCAACACAATCAGTTTTGCTTCCAAGCCCCACTCTCTTTTACCTATTAATACTAGTGCCTTTCTGCTTCGGGGCCTTCTCCCTTTTTATGCTGCTAGTTTCTTCCAGGCCTCTTTTCCCATAGGCTCTCCTCTCTGCTTTCATATCTTCCTTCTGTCTCAGGTCCTGTATCCTCAGCCATCCTCACCCATACATGCATGCTGGAACACACACACAGACATCCGGGTCACCAGACTTTCTTTGCCATTGAAGCTCTGGAAACACTAAGGCATTCGTTCAGGAAAGCATCTCTATTCAGGACGCTACTCAAACACCTTCTTAAGTTCTGTCCTGAGTTGGGATCTTGCAGCACGCTGTCATGTTCTTAATGCACTGGACAGGAAAAGGAAGGAATGTAGAATCATTCTCCAGTGTAATGTGAACTCATTTTATCCCCTTTCCTATGCCACCAATCATTCACCCCTGACAATCTGAGTGGCTGGCAACTTCAACACAGAATATTCCAAATTCTAGGAGCTTTAACCTCTATGGCTTTGGTTTCAGCACAAAATTTCAAACCCACAATGTCCAAATGAATGCATGTTTTCCCCTCATTGCGCTCCTCTGATCCCTAGTGGAATGTTTTTGCATATGATATTTAGGAGGATTATTAAACACAAATGAAATAGATTAAGAAATGAATGTAAAATAATCAATTCTTTTGAACTGTGGTTGCATAATGGAAATCGACTGCTATGAATGAACTTATGTTCCAAAGTTATGAACAGCAGAGCTAATGCACTGCCATGAGTTCATCTTTATTATTGCATTACACCTGAATCTATTGATAAAGTAGTTTTTTTTTTTAAGCTAGGGATGGCACTTAATTGAATAAAAGTCAATGTAATTATATTAGGAAAAGCCAACAGTACTGCTGACAGCGGAAAAGGGACACTGCTGAACAGAGTGCCAGAACATGTCCACACATTTCTGCACATCGTTTAGCTGACAGATATTAAAGGCTGGTACATAGATTAATTAGATTACTGATTGCCACTGCTATAAGTGAGAATTGAATCAGGGAGGCATCCTGCCCTATCATAGCATCAGTGGGATTGTGTCTTTTCACAGATCATCCTCAGGAAAGCATATGTCCATTTGGGGTCTCAGAGCATCCTTTTTAACCATTGGTTTCAGAGGAACAGCCGTGTTAGTCTGTATTCGCAAAAAGAAAAGGAGTACTTGTGGCACCTTAGAGACTAACCAATTTATTTGAGCATGAGCTTTCGTGAGCTACAGCTCACTTCTGTAGCTCACGAAAGCTCATGCTCAAATAAATTGGTTAGTCTCTAAGGTGCCACAAGTACTCCTTTCCTTTTTAACCATGTTAATTTATTGTTATCTCTTCATTCAATGAATTTTGACGTTATTTTCACTACACATCTGGCTGCTGTTTTCCCAGCAGCGAATCAAGGAAACAGTAAGTGCAGATGTGTGAGAAACAACAGACAGCTACAGTTAACCCAGCCAGTTTTACATGGCAGCAAATTCCCATATTCTTTTTAGTGTGAAATCAAGGGTTGGGGAAAGAAGTAGGAGAAATGGTAAGAAATAAATCCAGAAGAGCATTTCAGGAGTTTGCAGTTAGCTGTTATTTTGATAAGGACAACTGTGCTTTTACACTCATGCAATAACTCTGGTGATACCCTAGCTGCTTGTCAGCTTATATAGGCTTTCACACTAAGCATTTCCTATGCCATGCTTAGCAACTTCCACTTGGAGTCATCTGCCATCTGACACTGGAAAGGCAAGGAACAACTGTGTTGAAGCAGGAACTATAGGGACAACTTCTGTTTATCATTTATGTATGTACACACTGCTTGCATCTGTTTAGAGCTCATTTGTGGATGATGATGTGAATTTGCTTTGTCCAATTTGATTTATGAATTTGGATTGTGTGGCTGATCCAATATCCACCAAGACAGCAGTGTAAGTGAGATGATGGCTGACAGAAAATGATCTCACAGTCAAGACATTTTTTAACCTGTATTTTATCGTTTTAAGATTTTGTTTATTTTTTAAACCAGATATGTCTGGATTGGAATGTGAATTTGTTCTCTCTCTCTTTCTCTCTCTCTTTTTCTCTCTCTCTTTCTCTTTTGTGATCTCGATTTAGCAAAAGATTAGAAAGCTGATCTTATCACAAGGTAAGCTCAGCCTTCATAAGTGCAGTGTGGGGATGTATATAATACACTTCTGTGCCTACGAAAAGCAACCGTACTATATTTGCTTGTGTGAAAAGTGTGTTTCCCATGTGGGAATAGAACAATAAATGCTTTCCACTTTTCTTTACCCTTGAACATACCTCTCAATCCTCTCTCATTATGAGAGCTCCATTTTGGACCCAAATTTACCTACATCCTGTGCAGATCTGGTTGGAATAAAATGAAGTGCAGTATCAGTTTGACATCCGATCCATCCTTGCAGGAAAATGCGGTTGACCATTTCTATCTCTACCTGTTCACATTTATTACTGTAAATTATGTACAACAGACATGATGAATCAAGAAACAGTTGATAGAAAGTTAAATAAATTAACCCCACATCATTTTAATGTTTCTGCATTAGTATTTGTCTTATGACCCATACTGAGTCACTGTATCATATTTGGGACTTCAGCTTATTGAGAGATATGCTCTTGTGGGATTTCTAAAAATGAAGTTTCCAGTTAGGAAATACTGCCCATATCTCACTTTTAATTTTTTCTTTTGATGTTATTTTAGGACCCGAAAGTACAGAGAACATTGGGTCATTATGTACCCTCTTGTCCAATTTTGTATCCAGTACTTTTTATCTTTTTGTTTGTTATGCTATTCCATTGATAAATCCTCTCTCCCTCTCTCCCTCCCTCCCCACATTCAGACTCTGATCTTCAATTTACAATGCGCAGGCAGACCTGGTGAGCCCGCATGTTGTAAATTGTAGGTTCATGTCCTTAGTTTGCAAACTGAAAATGTTAAGCAGTGGAATTTCACTAATTCTATGTCACACATTTGAAATTCCAATCATTCTCCCCTCAAAATATCGGTCTCATCCTACTTCTCAGCAATGGTTCAAAATCAGAGTAATCTAATGTGAGGTCTTATAATTACTAAAACTTTATTTTGTATTATCGTAATTAAAGTGAAATATTTACCAGACATGCTTTCTGTGATGAAGTGTTTTGATATTTTTATCATGTTTGTCGGTTTACTCACTAATTTTAAAAATTTTCCAGTCATTAGTGCAAATCAGTGAAGTTCTACTGTGCTTAAAATCTATAGAATATCTAAAAGGCTTATATCAAAAATGGAGAGTAAAATTCAGTGTTTAAAATAGGAGACTATATTTCACAATTACTGAGATGAAACCTTATGTTTCATTGCATATAAAGATCCTTAATTCTTGAAGATAAGACCCCAATCCAACAAAGCACTTGAGAACATGCTTAACTTTACGCTCTTGGGGCCTGATCGAAAGCCCACTGAAGTGAGTGGGAGCTTTCCCAGAGACTCTTGAATAGTCCCACTGACATCATGCTTAAAGCTAAGCATGTGCTTAAGTGTTTTAATGGATTGAGGCCAAAGTCCTGTGCATTCAGCCATAATTTTTACTGAAAATTCTATTGCTTGAGTCATTTCAAATTACACTGGACCAAGCACTAGGAAATATATTTTGGAGGACAATAACGCTGCTTTGACAGGAGGATGGACCAGATGACTTTGGGTGAGATTTTTAAGAACATCTAGTGGCTTTTCTTCACAGTGCAGCAGTGCACACTAGAGGGCTGTAAATTGTAGAGGCTCTAAAATGTGTGTTCTAACTTCCCTACATGTAGACCCTGCTGAGGCACTCTAAAAGGTACCTAGTGCGCATTATATAGACCCGTTTGAAACAGTACTACATAAATGTGCACTAGGAACCTGTTTGTTTGTCAGCGGGGTCTACACAGGGTACTTAGAGCACAACACTTTAGAGAGCTCTTAAATTTACATCCCTCTGATGCACATTGCCACACTGTGTAGACAAGCCCAAATTGACTTTCACTGGGACTTCTGCTCCTAATCCCCAGAAGTGTTTTCCATCTCGTCTGGGTCTGATTCTGATCACCCTTATACTCCTTTGATTTGTGATTTTCACCAGTTTTAGTGAGATCACAATCAGGACCTGGGACTACATACTACCCAATTGTCTTACTCTTGTGCTTCTCCTGTACTGTGGGTTTTGGTTTTTCAGGGTTTATGGGTTTTTTTCTTCCTTGAATTACTGTTTCTGAAAACCCCATTTCAAGAATCAAAAACCGTATGTCACGTTGTTTATTAGGCTGAAGTATGCTTTCAACCGGAAACATAAAGGCTGCAGCCACTGCTGAGGCTAATGATGATGGGTGGTAGCGGGAAAATAAAGTAGGGTGGGTTGTGTTTTTGTTTTTGTTGGAAGGGGTTTTTGTTTACTTTGTTCTGTATTTTTCATTTTGTTACAAATTTCTCTTCTCCATTATATGAATGAGTGGATTTTCAAGAAACCAGGGGCAGCAGTAGCTTTCCATTATAAGTTATTGATAAATCAGAAATGTATGTTTCATGCTTGGCAACTATACATTTAATGAAAAATACTGTACATTTTTTTCTCTTTGTTCCCTTCCTTCTTCTTTTTGCAGGCACAGTGCTAACATAAACCTGCACCGTAAACTGTTGACCAAAGAACTGGATGACATGGGACTGGACACCTCTCAACCTTCTCTTAGTAAGGACCTCCGTGATGAATTTTTGGTGAAGATCTATGGCACCCAGCATCAAATGGGGCTTGACATAAGGGAAGACACCTCCTCACCAGCTGGTACTGAGGATTCCCACATGAATGGGTATGGAAGGGGCATGTCTGAAGACTACATGGTCCTAGACCTGAGCACCACCTCCAGCATCCAGTCCAGCAGCAGTATCCATTCCTCAAGAGAATCTGATGCAGGCAGTGATGAGGGGATTCTCCTGGATGACGTTGATGGGGCAAGTGACAGTGGGGAATCTGCACACAAAATGGACACCCCTGCCATAGGTGTAGGTATGGGTTCCGACCTTCCAGGATCCCTCATGTTCAACAATGTTTCAATGAGCAACGGTGGGATAATGTGTAACATTTGCCACAAAATGTACAGCAACAAGGGGACCCTCAGGGTGCACTATAAAACGGTGCACTTGCGAGAAATGCACAAGTGCAAAGTCCCTGGGTGCAACATGATGTTTTCCTCTGTCCGCAGCCGAAATCGGCACAGTCAGAACCCTAACCTGCATAAAAACATTCCCTTCACTTCAGTAGATTAGTTTAAGGATGGACACGCAAATGCCAGCTCTCACGGAGGGCCTACCATGTTTGAACTGCCATATACAGTATATATATGTATGTGTATATATATGTGTGTGTATGTATATATATGTATGTATATATATGTGTGTGTATGTATATATATGTATGTATATATACACACACACACACACACACATATATATATAAAAATATATATATATGTAATCTTTTTCTTTTTTAACAAAAGGAAAACACCAGGTGCTTTTGTTTGTTTGTTTTCATTTTCCTTCGTTGGGTTTGGGGTGGGGGTGGGGGCAGGGGAAGGTTAAGAAGGGATGGAATCTTTAACTGGGGGTGAAATACCCTCAATAAAAACCACAGGAACTTGCAATTAGCCCCAGTTTTGTTAGGAAATTCTTGGTCATCTCCAAAGAGACAAATTGTTCTACCCATGATTATTGTCTGCAAAAAAACAAAAAACAAAGAAGCAAAAAGAGGGTGGGGGGAAGAATTTCTTGGTTATCATTGTGTACTTTAAGCCGTTGGGAGAAACTTCTACTAAGCATGGCTGTTACACTTGTATATATATTGAGCCTTGAGAGGCCTATGATGTAAAACAATTGTATTGATGGTGGTTTAACTCTCTCTCTTTTTTAATTTTTACAGTTACATCCAGCTGTTAGATATGCAGAAAAAAATAGTTTACTGGCTAGCTCTATTCAATTTATGTTAGCTTTAATGCACATTTTTAAAAGAAACACGGTCTTGTTTTAACTACCTGCTATATATAAGTAATACAGAGGGGCTGGCATGCTTTACAGTACCTGATCTGATGCAGCTTTTTTGTCTTGTACTATTACATAAATCCAGTCATGCACTTTTTTCATACACTACAAGGGGATGTGTAATAATATCCATGCTTTTTTTTCCCTTAAACTATTGCCATATTTTCAGTAAGTGTCTTTAAAAAAAACACACTTAGATAAAAGTGGTCTGGTCAGTATGGGGCATGAATGCCAAACAAAAAGTATTAGTATTTAGTGTTAATACAAAAGTGCCAACTTTGCACAAGTTTTCAGAAAAGAAAATATAACTAGTTACTCACTATAAACCAGAGGCTGAGTTTTTGGCTAACAGAAAAATGCTAGGGGAAGAAAAACATAAAGAACACTTGGTGCTTTTTTCAAATGTCAAATATTATTAGAATCAACAGTGCATCTTTATTTCTTATATGTTACACTACATAAAAGGAAAACAGAATTATGTGGTGTGAATCAGTGGAGGCATTTCCTCTGTTGAGCAAGGATAATATTGCAGGATATAGATGCCGAAATTACTTACTGCCGAACAAAGCTAGATACAGTGAATCCATTCTGGTGCTCCTTAGTCCCGGGCTTTTGTGTTCTTTAAAAAAAAAAAAAGAGAGAAAAAGAAAGAAAGTCTTAACTCTGTTGTTCTGTAAAGTTGTCTGATTTGCATTGGAAAGTGCTGTAGTATGATTAAGGCATGTTTTATAAAAGCAAACAAAAGACATTAATGGCAGAAGCACTTAGAAGCACTGAAAACACATGCTGGACTTTTTATTGGTTACCTTCCCTTTGGATAAATTAGAGGCAAAACCAAAGCTATAGTTGTGTTAATGTTTTGTGTTTTACGCATATGGTTCATCAGAGAAGAATGAAAGTAAGTCCGAGAGAGAGAGAGAGAGAGAGAGAGAGAGAAGAAGCAGTTGAGAGAGACAGAGGGAAAGGCTGCCCTCCGAATCTTTTTTTGTTTCCGGTGTTTACACATGGTGCTTGAGCTGGTAAACCGCACTGGCAGCCTAAGCTACCACAACATACTGACTGAATGATGATATTTACTTAAGTTCAGCCTACAGCCAAAACCATTAGGGTGTGTGTTATAGACTTTTTTTTTAAGCCAAGAAATATTTCAGCATACAATGCTCACTTAAAGACAATGTATTCCTTTTCTGTATTTAATGGCCTAGAACATTTCTCTTGTTATGCTGAGAGTCAGAAATGCTCCTTTGTTTCAGCTTCAGGTTGTTTTGATTTGTTGTGTATTTTGATCATTTTGTCCACGTGAGCATTCACTCCTGTTAAATTTGCCAGAGGAAACTGTTAATATGGATCCTTTCCCTTTAGGATTTATTGTACATTTCAGTATTCCAAAAGTAAGACTCAACAGATAATGCAGTGTTTCCATTTGTAGAAAATAAAATTTAAAAAATACTTCTAAAGAGACTGAAAACATGCTTCTATGGGATGTGTTATTTAAGGCGAGCTTCTGGTCACTCTTTAGTAATGTACAGTGAGAAAAGACTGAAAACATCTGTGGATTCCATAGAAACTATATGAAAAGTCCAGTGTGTCAGACAAGAAATATGTGTCAGACAAGAAACCCTAAGCAGTTTTTGCTGACTTATTATTTTACATTTTTTCACTTTTCCCCAAATTCTTAAATATTTTCCTCGTCAAATTAAGTGAAGAGGTTTTATGTTTGTACATGTCCAGTATGTTTTTGAAAGAGGGAAGTTAGAACAGTAAAGGTGAATTCTTCTCAACATATGAACCTTTGTAGTGTTATCTGTACTGCACTCCTGTCACAATCCTAAGCTATTAGGAACCAAGCAAGATGGAAAGTTTGAAAGACAAAACAAAAATAACTGAATATCTACAGAAAAACACTGTTTTTGAAGTATGTATGGTATAAATAAATATCTTTTTTTAATGAAAAACACATTTGAGGTATATAAATAATTCTTTACTGGATGAATCACAGTTCTGCATTCTCATTTTACTCTGTTTCTGCTAAAGGTCAAATGGTTTTGGTAAACTAGTTTGGAAACTTAAACATCATCAGCAGATCAATTCAGCAAATGAATTACACAGAAAATGTCTGTTTATTACACAAAATGAAACAGGATGTTAGAAGAGTATAACGGATCAGAGACAAACCTCCGCAAGTTTTTATAAGCCTTGCAGTCCTGTTGTCACGACACCCTAAACTAATCCCCTATTGTGCTTAAGCATTGTAGGAGAAGATGACTGTTTATAGAAAAGCTCAGCATTCTTCAGTATCACCCTCCCACTCCTTGGAGAGGATCTTACATGCTGCCATATCTAGACGTAATTAATGTATTCCCCCAACACTTGTGATGGCTTATGACAGTGGTTGGTTTTGTGAGGACACTTAAACTCCCATTGAACTGAATGGAAGCTTCCCCCCCCCCCCCCCCATGCCGCTCACTAAGAGTCCAAAGTCATCAGCAATATTCCTGTGATAAAACTTGCATTGTTTGAAATTTTGTAAAAATCCCAAATCCCAAGGCGTATCAGTGGCTTGTGTAAAATGAGTTTGGTCTTAATCCAGTTTCTAGTGGACATCATGGGAAAAAGCCCACCGTAGCTGGCGTTAGCGGGCATTCTCAGCAGAGACCATGGATGGAATGAGTATAGAGACTGAAGGTACTGTCTCTCCAGGTCAGGACTGAGATGCATTGATGTGGGGAAGCTTGCACTCCTGCCCATGCTGTAGTTGTTCTGTGACTGGCTCTTCAGTTTCCAGAGCTGTCAATCCAGCACCTTTCACAGGAGCCTAAATTGGCATGGTGGGGGAGGAGGGAAAGGAAACACTTCAGTTTACTCATTTCAAGGAGAAGTTGCTATATCTGAAAAAGTTATGTTCCGGTAGTTAGTGAGCACGTGTGCTAAGTTACTTTAATATTTTGTTCATTTCAAAATAGATGTATTTTTTGTAAATATCAAAGGGGCTTATTCCACTGTGAGGACTCACTGCATGCTAAATCTCCTTCTTTAAAGAGAGCCACTTCTTGTCTGGAGCTTGTGTGCTTTTGCTGCTGCTTTTTTTTTTTTTTTTTTTTTTTTTAAAGAAAGCATCTGATACCAGATAAATACTATGTTCCTTTTGAATCCCTGGTACTAAACCATTTTTGAGAGAGAGGCAGTGTGGTTGAAAAGCAGGAGCCAGGAACTCCTGAGTTTTGGCACTGTCTGTCTGCTTTGGTCTTGGGTAATTCACTTTACTCGTCTGTGAATATGGGGATAATAAATAATAATACGTACCTCACAGGGGTGTTGTGAGGATTAATTAGTTGTTTGTAAAGAGTGAACATAAGTATGAAGTAGTATTATACAGATTACCATATTTAGATCATGTCTGTGAACTAGGTTTCAGCCTGATAGATGTTGAAATGGGTGAGCTTGGAACTCTCCCTCCAGGCCCATGAAAAAGAGGTTGATAATGCAAAACCCACCCAACACTTAAAGTACAGCAGGCAGCCTGGTTACCTTGTAATAATGAACATGTACTGCAAGCACTTGGTCACAACTGAATGTGATCAGTTGTGGAAGGTTTAGGCTAACATGCCTATTTAGCACTTACACATTGCTCTAAAAAAAACCCTGTAAAATGTTTTTCAGGAACCCTGCTCATAAAAATTGACTATTTCCCAGGGAAATTTAGACACTTTCCAATTGGAAATTGTGGACAGCATTTGTTCTGTATAAAATTCATATCTTTTCTTTCTTTCTCTTGTGGAAGTAAAACTCCATCTCCTCCACTCATTCCAGAAGAATGTAAATGTCCCTTCTCCCATTCTCCCCCTCCCACATCGCCAAAAAGGGAACTGATCGGGGAAATAAGTCAGGTCATGCCCCAACATGCAAAGTGTGTGCCTGGGCATCGCAAGAGCTCAGCTCAGGATCAGGCCCGATATATTTAATGCTGGAAGGGGGACTGCATGACCCCATCTGTCTGGGTTTACCCTGTCTGTCTGGGTTTTATCTATCTAACTTATTAAATACAATTAAGTATCCAGCACAGTTGTTTGTATAGTGATCAACATTTTGTTTGAGCCATTCCAAAGATAAGGACCATCCACAAAATGAGCGATCACGATTTGAATTCCAAAGCACACTTTCCTTCAGTAAGTCTGATGGTTTTAAAATCTAAGGACTTGGGTTGGACCCTTTTTAGCAGTAGTATATGGCACATCAGCTATCTTAAACTTACAGGACGTCTTTTGAGAAATACATTTGCTTCCACTCAACAAATTCCCAAAGATTTTTCACTGTTTTTGGAAAGGAAAACATTTGTTCAAGAAATGTACACATGCTCCTTTAAATTTTAAATACCAACTATTTGTTGAAATAAAAAATAGAAGTATTCTTTCCTCTGACCCCCAAAGACTGTTTTCTTTACTTCTCTTTGTTTAGGTATATTAACAGAATGTTTTTTTTATTTGAAGAAAAGGTGAAAAGTTCTCTGAAGTAGGTGCAAGAAAGCAGCTGGAGTTCTCTTTGAGGAGAAGGTGAGTGGCAGATGCATGATGGCAGCTGGTGTGTGTCGGGTTTTTTTGGTTTTTTTCAGAGTAACAGCCGTGTTAGTCTGTATTTGCAAAAAGAAAAGGAGTACTTGTGGTACCTTAGAGACTAACCAATTTATTTGAGCATGAGCTTTCGTGAGCTACAGCTCACTTTATCGGATGCATACTGTGGAAACTGCGGAAAATTAATTAATGTCTTCTGCAGTTTCCACAGTATGCATCCGATGAAGTGAGGTGTAGCTCACGAAAGCTTATGCTCAAATAAATTGGTTAGTCTCTAAGGTGCCACAAGTACTCCTTTTCTTTTTGCTTTTTTTGTTTTTCTTGTGTCACCACTTTGCTGCAATAGTAACACAACAAAACAGTGACTTTAGAGCTACTTTGCTAGATAAGGATCAGCTTATCCCCTGTCAGCCCATGATGAGCCTCTCCCCGCCCAATGAATATGAAAGGAACTTTTTTCTATGCCCAATTTTTTTTTTTATTTCCACACAGAGCTACATCATATGGTGGCCTGAACCCTTCACCCATGTGTCAGCATAGTACATGTCTGCTCCAGCCCCATGGCTTCTCTCTCGGCATCCAGCATTATCACACCCTATAAATGTGACAGAATGATACAGTGACTCCTATGCATCAGTATCATTGTTAATTATTATTTTCCTAAGTCTTTGCATAATTATCCTCATTATAGCTTGTTTCTGGTCCTACCATCATTACTAGTAACAGTACAAAAAAAAAAAGACACCTTTGTCCTTTTGGTCAAGCCACTGGTCAAAAATTTCCCAACACTAAATACTATGATGTTTGGCATTAGCACTAGGGAGAAAAAATTCCTTGGCTGCCAAGGAGTTAAAATAAATAAATAAAAAACAGATGCATTTTTGGCAAGTCCACTGACTTGTCAGCATTATTGTTCATTATGATGCCACTGTATTTTTTTAAACAGCAACATACTGTAGTTGTCATAAAACTATTTTTCCATTTCTCTCCTCTAAAGTGTGGTGTTGTAAATTCATGTGACCTTTACTGAAAATAATAAATACTTTTTTTTATATAATATCTCAAGACAAGGCCTAGTTTGTAACAAATAGTGGCCCATTACAAAACAGGGAAAAAACTGAGCTGAGCAGCAAGAAGCTTCAGTTCAATTTCACCTCATATCTTTCTAATAACTTACTTGTCACTTTATTACCTTCCAGTAATGTGAATGCTGCTGACAAGACTGTCACACTAACAGCAGACAACACCCTCTCTTCCTCGGCCCCAGCTCTCCTGGCTACTTATTGTGCTGGCCCTGAAGGGACACAAACTAATAGTGTGCTTTCAAGTTCAGCACTTGGCCATCAAATATAAAAGGATGCGTAATTGCCTGTTTATCCCTTGTGAAGGGGAAATTGAGTACAAGAACTAGGCTTTCCCTCTGAGTTCCCTGACATGCACACGCTCGCTCTCTCACACACACAGGCACAAATCTGCAGTGAGAGGAAGGGAGGTCCCATCTGGAGTTCTTCGATTTGTCTTTGGGAAGCCCAAGGCTGCCACTGGCTGCTCTATCCAGCTATCAGGCAGACAGTAACAAGATGACTTCTTAACAAAAGGTCAGCTGAGAAATGCTGTCTGTGATGCCACTTTTGTCTGCTTATGTAGAAACTAATTGCTTCGTATCATCATCATCAAACCACGATGTGCCTGTTAGAAATAGGCACATAGGCTTGCTGCAGGTCTCACTGTTTAAGTTAGATGGTAAATTGGATGCATGCTATTTTTCTGGATTAGCTCATTCTGTGGCAAAATTTATTAGGGCAAAATTCTCTCAGATCCATACAGGGAGTGCCAGTTCCAATCAACCATTCTGCCCCAATATGCACATCTCATGTTGAGGTCAGTGGGGATCTCCATGGACATAGTGAAAACACAATATAAGAGAGACAGGCACTGCTATCTGATACGAGGAGAAATTTGCCCCAATTTTTTTTTTAATTAAATTTTAATTTAATTAATAGCATTGACAAAACTATAGATTCAACTTCTCCAGTGAGGTAATCAGGAAAGAAAGCTAGTGGGAGAAAATAATTCAGAAAGCTCTACCATATATTTTTTTTAAACTTAGAATTCTAAATTGAGGAAGCAAACATTCTTGGAAACTAGACAAATACATTGTCCAAGACTGCTCTACTTCCTTTAGCTCTGCTTATGTTTTTTATCAAAACTAGAGTTTGCTTGAACACCATGTGAAAGCTCAAGATGCTGGAGGAATAATTGAAACATAATTTTCTTGTAGTGTAATTAGAATATATATTAAGAAATGTTAAGCCATACTTTCCTGTAGCACTTATGACCAAGGTTTCTAGGGGCAGTGATCACTGTAATTTTCAATGGTACAGGAGTTCATGAAAGGCCAGTGCAATACCTAAAAACTGAAGGTTGGATTCAAACAAATCATGGAGTGGTCAATTTTAACACTATTTTGAGCTTTATCAGTGTATATTTATATATCATTTGGCTACTGTATGGTTTTAGCATTGCAGCGAGGTGATGACTAATTGGAAGCAGCTTCAGTTTGCAGGTCCTTGATGTTAAAATACTCGTCAGTTCTATATTGCAGTTTGGTTCTGATTGCAGTAGAGGCAATGTCCCTCACTATAAATATGCTAAGGCCTTTTAATGATCAGATATAAGGTCATTGATCTTTTCCTTCCCCCTCTTTCCAAGTCCATCAGAAATTTTAACAAGGGACAAATTAACAGGCATTTTCTGAAGGGGTGTGAGCAAGAGGGGACCGGGCTGTTCATTTCCTAAATCAAAGGTTGAGTCCAAATTGTGCCCACACATCAATCCCACCCTGGGGTTACACTGCATGTAAAAGGAGGCAGAATTTAGCCC